CACTTGTTACTACGTTCGCGTGGCACTTGTTACTAGTAGCTTCTTGTTGCCAAGCCACGACAACAGGATGCGGCGCATTTGTTCGTCCAAACGTTTTCATCACTTGGTCGAACCTCTCGGGTTTTCTCGGTCACAGGAACGAAATCGCACGACTCACGCCACTCTCCGAGGTCGACATTCATGCAGCCATCTATCGTGACACACAGCTGAAGCAGACGCCATAGCAAAACAGATGCGTGATTGTCGGGAGCTTTTCAAATGGGGTTGCAAAACATGCTTGGAAGGCATGTTTGGGGGAGGTCTTGCTAGGACTCAATCCAGTCTCAATCGCAGGAGAAAGAGGAGAAAGACGATGATGATCTGGGAGCCCTGCAGCATACTCAGACCATGTCAACGACCACACACAGAAAGATCAAGTGGCAAAATCGCGGTACTCAATATGACGGCACCTGTTACTAGTAGCGATGCACTTGTTACTACTAGCTTCTTGTTACGACTAGTAAGGCACCTGTTACTACTAGCGTGGCACTTGTTACTAGTTGCTTCCTCTTGTTGCGTTCGGAGTCCGTGAAATAAGAAGCATCACAAAAACCTCCTGCTTTCAATCAACGCATTTTAGATGCTAAACGAAGCAATCAAACGATGATCCCTTTGTTGCGGCCTTTGGGAAACCGCCAAAAAAGCGCACATCCGAGGCTAGAGGCAGAATCTCTCACTGTGGACACAGTGGCGCGGTTTGGGGGGAGGATCACGAGGATCAGGAGCAGGATCACTAAGGACGAGTTGTAGGGTCCAAAGATGGGATAAATTGTGTCTATGATGGCAAGAAAGGACAAGCTTGAGTCACTGAGTTCATTCGGAGGTTGCAGTGCATGTTATTTGGGAAGCTGCATGATCATTGGATGATCTGTGGTCTTTTCCATGATCCCATTGGCAGGTCTTCTTCAAAGCGTTGACGCAGGAGGAACAAGGGCCTTTCACCCAGGAGCACCCCCGGCGCCCTGCGTCGGTCCAGGGAGTCCACGAAGGAAAGCCAGATCGTTAGGGATAAAGGTTCCTAGCAGCGTTTTTTGCTCCTAGTAGCGATGCCCTTTGTTCCTAATAGCTTCTTGTTACTAGTAGTA